TATTTAGTTCTTTTTTTTCTTGAACCTGTATTATCTTCTTCTAGAGAAGAGACGTTTACGGTGCTTGGGAGCAGTACCTTGGGTTAGAGCACTCTGGTACTACTCCAAAGAGGGCGTATACTGCAAACTAGGTAGATTTTTTTATTGATATAGTACGTGTATGATTTGTATTATTGTGCGGCACTGGATGAATAATAGGGGAGGCACCAATATTGAGAATTCTCATCTGCTATTTCTGAAGTATATTCAAATTTGAAGTGTGTGTCAACGTTTTATTATATTTTTATAGGTTTTGAGGTTTTCTCCAGAGAGTATATATTTCCTGGACCATGTTTTCAAATCCTTATGTTTTTCTGATAATTGCAAAACCGACATACATTTGAGAAGCCTGTCAAAATATACAATTAAGAAGAAATGCTTGCAATATACGAACTCTCTCAAGTTATGCCAGAAACCAATGTTGATGTGGGATCTACAAAACAGCGTGCTCCTTTCCTGGATCCAAAGACCGTGAGTTAGCATCTTCTGGAAACGATATATGAGTGTACATATTTCCCACATTTAGTTTAGCTGTACCAAAGGTAATACTTAAGTTTCATTGCTATAAGTTAATTCAATTTACACATTGTATTGTATATTTCAAGCTTCTTCTATTAAATTATGCTCAAAATATGTTAATTTCTAAACGTTGCATGGACATGGTAGTTGTTGGAAATCTTTCTTCACCTAATCCAAATTATAAATACGATTATTTTCGATATAAAATGTGATTACTACTTATAATTTGGTATACCAACTACGCCCTTAATCGATGTTCAACGAAATCAACTTTTGCCTTCATCTTTAGTACAACTCAAAAGATCTTGGTCACTTGTACAACCGTCTAGCAAATATCTTATCAAATTTATCTCAACATAACCATTACCAATACATACACATGACGTAAAGTCGTGCAACGCACGTCCGACACTAGTCCGACACTAGTAGTATAAAAGGGTGCTACAATCCCATAATTCTTTCTAAACTACTGCTCTAGCTTATCTTCAGAGATCTATTCTGAGGCTCATAAAACTGAGAATGTCTGTAAGCAATAAAGTTAAGTATCTCACAGTGTAGACATTTCCTTTAAATGATCTTAGGCACAAGTGTGATTCTAAGTTGAAAATCCAGTTTTTCACAGTCACAGTGCATATATTTCCTTTGTCAATGTCTCTATCCTTCAGGCACAGGCGTGATTCTCATTTATACAGTCCAGAATCGACATTTGTTTGGTTGTAAAATAACATCAGACCTAATTTAATCTTCTGTTTCCCTTCTAACCAGTAGCTAGTTACCAAATGCACGAGTGTCGGAACAGTTTTTTACATTGCTTACATTAACTTCTCCACATTCGAGCATAAAATTAGCAAATAAAACATTAGAAATCTGAATAAAAAATAGGATGGCAATGATAGCAGCCAAATCCCCGTTTACAGATATACTCATGCAAGGAAGTTGTGTCGAGGGCTCGAAGTACCTCAGGACAAGATGACAAGTCCAAGATAACTCAGAGGACAAAAATTCTGTATGAGCAAAAAAAAAATTACCTTTCCCACCGCCACCAATAACAAGCTTCAGTTACTTCGGGAAGTCTCAATCGGTGGTCGAGGTTCGTTGGTGGACTTGGGATGGTCGGAGACGGAGAGGATAGATGGTTGGGTACTTGGGTCGCTTGGATTGGGAGCGATTTGAGAGAGAGAGACGGAGAGATCGAGAGAGAGAGAGAGAGAGAGAGAGCAGTGAGCTGTGGGTACTGGGTAGGAGAGAAATGTGGAGCCTTTAGCTTTAGGGTTTTCTTTTGAAACCAGTTTTTTTTTGTTTTTTTGGGTCGGGTTGGGTTGGTTTATATCGGGTTTGGGTTGTTAACCCACAAACCGACCCAACCCGACCTGATTACCCACCCAGAAACCCGAAACCCGTTCAAATAATGTAAAAAACCGACCCAAATCGATCGGTTTTGTCATTTTTTTAATTTTTTGTCACTTTTTAAAAAGAAAAAAAAAATAATACGTTATATTTTCCTAACATAATCGGTATGTGGATTGGCATGGACGTGCTGATTATTGTAAGAACATGATTACTGGTGCTGCACAAATGAATGATGTTATTTTTGTATTTGTCACTTTTTGAGTTTGTATCACTTTTTAAGAGTGTGTAACTTTTTTTTAGTTTTGTCACTTTTTTTTGAGTTTGTGTCACTTTTTATAAAAAAAAAATTGACATTGTGTCTCTTTTTTATTTTACACAGTATTTTTTACTTCTTAAAAACATTTAATTTTAAGGGTATTTTTGTAAGTTAGCCCAACAATTCATAATACAACATGAGGAAATTACACCCATCGCTAATATATATACCTATCTAATATATAATATTTTATTTTATACTATTATACCCAAATAATTACTATATAAATCCATTAGAATCTCAAAAAGACTATATAATGCACTTTCCTTTTCTGAATATGTAACTGAAAATTTCAAGACATTCAAAACGGGTGGCATTAAATCATATTGCTGAACATATGAAAATTCAAATTCAAAATTACATTGTTCAATATGATACTACTATGAGGTGAGAGATATTACTCATCATCGGCGACTGAGATGGATTGGTTTCATAAAAATATTCATCGAGTTACATCCGACCAATTATTTCGTTGAAACATTTTCCAGAAATTTTATACAAAATAATTACAAGCAACTTTTTCTATTTGTAATTATTAACCAAGAAATTGCAATTTCTGATATTCAATTGTTGTTGGAAAAATTGAGTTGGTGGCTGTCTTTGGCACTAATTTTGAGCGGGACCTGCTTGGTTATTTTGGAAATTAAAAGATGATTTGTGTTCTTTTTCGTGAGTACATCGAAATCATATACTTGTCAAAAATGATGCTATGGTGAATAAGAAATTGAAGCTCAAAGTATGCCATGTGAAACGAGTTTATGTTGGTGGGAAAACAAAAAATAAGGTTTGTCCCACATAGGAAGTGGATAAAAACTAAAACCACTTTATAAAGGATTACACTTTAGAATGGTGTAATCATGTTTAGCATAGAGGCTCTCTCCACGTGTGAGCGCAAGAGGGTGCAAATTTTGGACCGAAATAGGTATCGGACCTTGAACTTGTGTGCGGGCTTGACCTGCATACACGAATGTCGGACCAAAAGGAGCAACATTGGCCCCTTAGGAGTGTCCACACATATTCATCTGGTCACAGTTGGAGTCTGCTCTCGTTTTTACTTTCTGTTTCTTTGTCTTGTTTGGTGATATTGTTCGGGCACTGGTTCAGTTCGCCGGAGTACCATCTGTGGTGCTCAGATTATACTGTTTCGCCTTTGTATGCTGGGAAGCAGACGTTCAAACTATACTTCAAGCACGTACGGTGAGGGGCGGATCTGTTTTAAGGAAATTGTATTTGACACAGGTCTCAGGTTAAAAGTTTTATACAGTTTAATAACTTCTTGTTGCTCGTTTTGGCATATTCATATTCTGCAATTCTCTTTTAAATATGTACTATAATTGACAAATCTTTAAATCTGTTATTTCTTATTGTGATTAACGAGTCATAGAAATTGTTATACAATTTGACTTGTTATAATATGCAAAAACTATATTTGTAAATCCGGTACCAATTCTGCATATACGGTATTTGAGTTGAATCTGGTATCCAATATTGAAACAACTATCCTACAATTGTATCTTTGTTTCTGAAACCCAAATTCTTGGGTCATGCGTATATGGATACCATCCATGATGGTGACTTATGCACATGGTTTTATATTGCCAGTTTCGAAAGAAGAGCCAAATATTAAATATTCATCCCTTTCACATAAATGAAGAAGATCTTCCAGTAGCAATGTAATTTTCAGAGGTTGTTTACTTTTGTAGTTGTAATTTCACATAGCACCATTTTGAAATTTAACTAATTTCTGCATATCATCATTTGATTCATGGTTTCTCTTAAAAACAAGAAAATGAATATGTTGCACCCTGTTATATAAATTAATCTGATACATTGGTTTACATATAAAAAATATTTAAATGTTATATTGTATATGAAGATAGTGATGAGTATGGTTGAATGGTGAAATTTTCCAGTACATTAGAGATTCCTGAGTTTTGGGGATGAAAGATTGAAAGTCTACAATTTGGGAATTATTTTTGGCAAGATAACTGGTAGAGTTTATGCATGTTTGGCGGATAGATTGAAGCCAACTAATCCATTAAATGATGAGAGATGCAATTTTGTATTTTTTATTTTTGCTACACAATATGCAGTATTTTTGGTTAACAAAAAATGTAGTAGTATTATTTGAATATTTTATAAAAACAATGTAATTTCCACTTATAACAAACCCCTGGCCCAAGGAAAGACGTGGAAAAAGAGGGCTCGTGCCCTGGCTTATTACTTTCGAAATTTGCTATTTTGAAGCTTAATGAAATGCTTTATTTTTTAAAAAAAAAAAAAATACTACCCAAATTACGTCGAGACACTATTTAAAGAACGCGGTAAAAATAATTACATTTTACTTTTCTAAATTCAATATTTGGCCTTGTAGACTTTAATTTAAGTTAAAATCAACAATCAATTTTAACAACATATTTTATCAATTTTTATCAAAATCTACTAAAAATCTGTTTTTAATCTATACCAACAGTCGCTTAACTTTGAAGAATATATTTAATATTAATGAATAAAATATTTAATTGACAGGTGGATCTTAATCTAAGCCGAAGAATGGTTGCAAAATGATGATGTACATATTGTCTTATGCTTTTTAAAATTATCGAACAAAGAGATAACTACATAAATTAGATAATACTCATAAATTTTATTAAAATCTTCTTAAACACGTAGATAGAAAAACAAACATCCCACATATTATTATTATTTTTCTTCTTCTTCTTCATGGAGCTTCTTCTTCCTCGTCTTCTGAGGGGACATAATCTGGGTCTTCAACTCATTCGCCTGATTCTGAATCAATCTCGGTGTTGCATATTTTGCACAAAACCCAATCCTTCTCCAACTGCAAGATGTGAAAATAGAGTAATTTATAAACTCTTTCAGAACCAATTCACCGTACACCTCATTCTCAACTCCATTAGAAAAAGGTAAAATATATACCTTGGTTTGTCCTTCAACGTGACTGTATTTCAGGGGCAGAGGATCAATAGCTCTAAATTCATGCATAATCCAAGATGTTAATGTACTGCTTTCAGGGTGTCCCTTGTAGAATTGAAACGTCTTTCGAAATCCAACAATTTCACCATTTTCTTTGACGGTTTCATCTTCTCCTACTACTTGCCAATACCCATCAATTGTAGATAGACTTATTTTCTCGTTTTGGCATTTTCGATCCCTTAATGTAAACAAGTACCAAATTTTCTCTATAGTCTGCCCATATTCATCTGGGAATCAAATAAAAGAAATATTATTTTCCTGACATCCTTGTATAATAACACAAAATTTGAGATGGAAAAAAATAATTGTACCAGAAACAATGAAGAACAAAATATATATATATATATGAAAGGAAGAAGATATGATTTCACCAGCAAGTTTCTCAGGGTCGATCTCGTATATATTAGCAAGTTTAATCCAATGGAGAGGCATCTTCTGGTTCTTGATTTTGTTGATCAAGAACAATACAAGAATTTGATTGTCGGTAGGGTGGAAAACATGATAAGGACCGATTATACTATAGTAATCATCATAATAAAGTTTTTCATGCGTATAATCTTCAGGTCGATATTTTTTGATGATTTTAGACCGCATCGTAAAATCCTAGATCTGGGAATCCGTCGTGAATGAAACAAATGATGGGAGGTTTCTGAGTTTTCGTAGGGAGGAAGATTTGTGTTTATATAAGTGTATGAGAAGTGAAGGGAAGTTAGGTGTGGGGAAGTGAGGTCTCACTCATTCACTCGCTCGCTCGCTCGCTCGCGCTCTCTCTCTCTCTCTCTCTCTCTCTCAATGTCAAGAATAGTAGATTTTGACAAATTAGGATGTTGAATGGAGGAAAAAAAAAAGGCTAATTAGCACAAAACGTCCTTTGAGGTTGATTTCGGAAACCGTCCATACCTTTCATTTCTTGACATTTATGCCCTTACCTTTCACTTTTCGTGCGTCGAATGTACTTTTCACCATGTTTGGATGATTTTACCCTCAATTAAATTGAAACAAAAATAAAACTAAACAAAAACTAAAGAATTAATTGCAACTATTGACCCAAATTTTTTAAAAAATGCAAATAACCCACCAAACTCGACCTTCTTCCCAAAACTCGCCCCCACCTATCGCCGCCTACCGGCCATTTTCAGGCCACCGTGGCCACTGGATTTTTGCACCAACACCATCTCCTCATCAACCACTAACATACCTACACAAATTTCAGCCCCAAAAAACAACAAAATTGAACCAAAAATCGGCCAAAAAAAGCCTTCACACACGGAGAGGCGGTGCCTCTTCACTACCTCGTTGCCCGAAAACTTAAGGAGTTACCTTTCAGGCAGAGGCTATGTCGGGTTTGCAGAGAAAATAGGCACCAGTGGGCTGTGTTATTTGCGGTTGTAGGAGGTCGGGGATAGATGTATACACTGTCAATTTTGTGAATGGAATCGATGGATTTTGGGCAGGAGTGGGTTGTTCGCTAGAGTTTTTGTGTAGGGAGAGAGCGATAAGGAATTATGAAGAAACGAGGGAGAGAGTGAAAGGGAAACGAGGTAGAGAGCAAAGTGTGTCGTTATGGTTGACGATCCATTTTTTTTACATCTGGCATGAACGGTGTTTAGGAAACCGCCTCTTTTAGATTGTTTAGGATTCAATGGAAATACAAATTTGGATTATTCTATTTTGCCATAATGATTGATCGAATCGACACATGGCGGCCCCCTATTGGGGGAAGTCGGCGGCGGCGACTAAAGTTTACCCTCAGCCGCGGACGATACAGGTCTGGAAAACGCTAATGAACTGGCTCGCCTTCTTCCAGATCTTCACTTAGATTCTCAGAGGCACCCCACACTTCCTCTCTTACGTTGGCCTACGCCATAGCTCCTTCCGCTCTTCGACTCCTCAAGCGTCGTCGCAGTTCAAGTCTTTACCACTAGTTGAGTTGTCTGAGTTTCAAGAAGAATCCGAAGAGACTCCACCTGCACCTCCCCCCGCTGTCCCAATTGCCGGTGCGGAGAACGAGTGACAGAAGCTTTACCTTTTTAGAAGCTGACGGTAAAAATTATTTTTTGAATACGAGTTTAATATTTTAATTTATTTGGATTTGATCGTTTATGACTAAACTAAAATAAGTGGAAAACTTGAGTTAGTATCATAACTTTGTGTGTGATGGTCATATGGGAAGTTTAAGCTTAAGGTTGACCTCGGGCTAGGGACTTGCTCTAGTGAATTGCCTATTTGGTCACTGAACTTTCAGCCATGCTTTCAAGGGGTCATCGAACTTTCAAAATTACCTAAATCATCACTAAACAGTCACTGAACTTTAAAAATCACCTCATTCATCACTAAATTTCTCAAAATACTTCTACGAGATCACTAAACTTTACAAAAGGTTTCCAGGAGATCACTGAATTTAGTGACCACTGGGAAACATTTTGCAAAGTTCGGTGATGAATGAGATGATTTTTAAAGTTTAGTAACTTGGTGGAAACATTTTGCAAAATTCAGTGATGATTTGAATGATTTTGAAAGTTCAATGGCCCCTTGGGAGCATGACTGAAAGTTCAGTGACCAAATAGGCAATTCACTCGAACTTGCTCGGATAATTTTTAGCCGAGTCATAATTTGCTTAACCGTTTAGAGTTTAATATCCTGTGATATAAAAAGAAGCTGGTAATTATCGCAAAAATATGTGTTTTTATTTTGTGATATGGAGTTCACTTTATTGCAAGTAATCTGTATCCATTAATCTATTAAATGTCGATAGACTTGTCTGCTGTTGGAGCTGTTTATCCGCTGAAGTGCACAGATTGATGCGAAAATAGGTGGGATAATAGGGGAAGAGAAGCAAGTACTTTGCTTTTGCTTTATTTGTCTTTATTGACAATCAACTCTTAGTCTTCAGGAAATTTTTTCCTGCAGTGGGGTTTGTTCATCTTTTACTCTTCACAACTTTTATTCACTCTTCATAATTTTCATTTTGATATTAGAATTATCAGTTTTCTTCATGGTTAAGGTAGAACATTAAAGAGAAAATGTTGAAATCTTGAGTCAATTATTTAAGAAAGAGAGGCAATCAGAGGATGTTACTCTCTTTATGGGGGAAAAAATGTACGGCTTACATTGGGATGGTTCATATGGAGAGGAATACTTATTGCAAGTGGTCAGATTGGTGCCAGTGTAGACGGTTAAGTATTAAGAAACCACAGCCACATTTGTTATCAATACGGTATGACATTGGTGCAACTTTTAAATTCTATATATTCCTCATGAAACCTAATTTGAGTGTGGTGTGCAAATAAAAATTCTGATTCCATTTAATCAGCATGAACAATTATATTTTAATTGCTAAAATGTATCCTTCCAATATTCTCTCCACAGTGAATCTTTAGAGCTATGTAGGAAATTACTAAATGTGCAACATATGTCTGAACAATGTCATTAATCATTCAGTGATTCCGTATCTCCACGTTTAATGAGCTAACAAATACCAAATTAGTGGTTGTATTTTGTGTGCAGGCATGCATCAAAGAGAGCTCATAGTCCTTTCAAAAAGTTAAAAATTTCTTCTTTTGAGTTTGGTTTTGAAATTTGAATTGACATGAATCTGATTGGATTCAGAAAATGAAAATAACTAGTAAAGTTAGTTACTAGCATGATTTTGGTTGTATACGTGCACACACGTGAAAGTGAACATGGAAACCTTGTTATATGGTGGACTTAGAGTTGGTGAAATGATTGAGATAAATTCTATCTGTCATTCTAAGATTCTTGATTCAAAATGATGGTGAACACTATCAAGAGATGCATGTTTTTGGGAATTTAGAGGCATTTAATCACCAATATTCTATCAGTCTTGTATGCTTTTGGAGCTGTTTCTTCACTGGAATCAGAAATCAGGAGTGGAAATGGGTGCAATTTCAGTGGAAGAGAAGTAAATAATGTTTAATTAAATTGATTTGTGAAGGAATAACAACAGTAAAGTAATCAGGCAGAGTAATCATGCAGAAGAATACTTCGAAGAAGAAGAATGAATATCAATTCCAGCTTTATCAGAAATTGGTTAAAGTCGCATTTTCCATATTACGTTTTTAGCATTTATTCTTTTCTTTTTTTACTGTTTTAATTCCGTTTTAGCATTGGTGAGTTGTCGGCCTGCCATTGGTCAATTGTTCTCTCTTGTGTCTATATATATCACAAGAGCTCTCCATTCTCTGCAAGCTCGATTAATTCAATAAATTTCTTTTCTCCAAATTACTTCAGCTACTTTTGCACATGGTATCAGAGCCTGGTTGCTAATTCAGAATTTTTGATTAAGAACCTAATCAGTTAGCTGAAGAAGAAATGGCGACAGGATCAGATACTGAGGATGAAATAGCAGGAAAGGAATATTCAAATGGAGATTCGTTGGATCTTCAAAATTCAGATCATCCTGGTATGGTTTTAGTTTCTTCAGTATTAACAGGAAGAAATTATCTAAGTTGGAGTAGATCTATCATCATAGCTTTAGGAGCTAAGATGAAATTGGGTTTCATTGATGGAAGGTGTAATAAACCCACAGAAAATGTGTCTAAAATCGAGCACTGGATTCGGGTTGATTGTATGGTTAGATCGTGGTTGTTGAATTCTATTGCAAAAGATATTGTTGAAGCCTTCATCTATACTAAATCAGCAAAGGATTTATGATATGAACTGAAGGAGAGGTATGGTGAGTACAATGGCCCAATGATGTATCAAATACAACGAGAAATCAGTAGCATCACACAAGGTATTTTAACTGTTGAAAAGTATTACAATAAACTCAAAAAACTGTGGGATGAATTGAATTGTCTGATGCCGATTCCTACCTACACTTGTTCAGCATCAAAGGAAATTTCAGATCTAACAATTTTTAATCAGCTGATGCAGTTTCTAATGGGATTAAATGATACTTTTGATCATGTTAGAAATCAAGTGTTAGTCATGGATCCGCTTCCGTCTGTCAACAAAGCATGTCAACAAAGCATATTCTATGGTATTGAGAGTGGAAAAATAGAGAGAGGTTCACAATATTTTCTTTGATTCAAATGATAACACAGCTATGCTAGTTAAATCCATGGATTACAAGAGAGAAAATGGAAGTAGAGGTACTTTCAATAGGAACACAGTAAGGTATGGTGCAGGGAGAGGAAGTTATAAACGATTTGGAAATGAGAAAGAACAAAATCACTACAATCACTGCAATATGAAAGGTCATACAAGAGATAGTTGTTTTAAACTAATAGGATATCCTGATTGGTACAAAATGCCGAAAGAACAGAGGCCTAGGAGCTATGGAGATGGACGTTTTTCTGTCAACATGATTGATACACCTTTGGATTTTGAACATGATAAAGTTAATCAGAACAGGTAAATGGATTTGGGAGCATCCACAGATATAACAGATCTGGTGACACAGGAAGTGC